TAGACCGGAGGACTGATTTAGAGCAGTGGGGGTTTCAAGGATAAGATTGGCCCCTGGGGTTTCCAGCAATGGAGCTCACACTAAGAGGTCTAGTGACTGGTAACGGCACTGGGCAATAACTTGAAACAGAGAAGACGAATAAAAAGAAAATTTTCTATGTAAAGATTATCTCTATACATAACTGTTACAAAACAATTATATTTTTTATTTTTAACTCAAAAACAATTTCATTCTTAAAAGGTAGCATTTTATTTTTTAGAGTTTTTTTATTTTCTGCTGATAATAACTAGTGTTAGATTTTACATAATCTTCTGACTAGTTACTAGTTCTCGTCTACAAATTTCAACACAAAAACTGCAACCAGTTTACCCTATCTAATGATTTGCAACACATAAAATACCAATCACATTTCATATCACTTTTATACATCAAAACATCATAACAACTTACCGGATTGAAATAGTACATGATCAGTGTTCTACGTGGGTTTCGGTAATTATAATATATGACACCCTACCACAACAATATAATAAACATCTGGAACATATTCCAGTTATCCTATTATTCACATTACAACATGATCAAATTACACAACAACAACATCACAAAACATCACATAACCAAATCCATTGAGTTACATGTGACTTGCGTAGTGCCAACACCTGACTGAAACACTTAATTGCATTCAGGAATCACATTTAACAAAAGTTTCAATTTTTTTCTTTTTTTTTTTCTTTTTGATCAAATGTTATACAATGTTAGTGATCTTGCTCCAAATGTTTTTTTATTTTTTATTTTTCACAACAAATAGTTCCTCAGGTTTTTCTTGCTCAAGGATTTTTCAGATGATATATTTGTTTAATGGATGGTAGGTTAATATCTATAGCAATATAATTTATATCTTAATATTAATCATATAACAAGTTAAACTTTTACTTTATTAATAAAGATCATGAGTAATATCTCACTCTAACATTATAAAAAAAAATTATTTAGTTTTTAAAATACATATATAGATTTTTTTTTTTATTTGATTTTCAATTAAAATATTTTAAAAATATAAAAAAATATAAAACTATTGAATTTTTTAACAGAAATATTCTTTATTTGTTGTTATTATATAACTATTATTTAATTTAAAATTTTAACCAATTAATTTTTAACAAATTTTGTATTAATTTAATATAACTTAAAATTCAATATTAAGCTAAGATAAATCTTAAAACAAGATTTATTTAAATTTTAATTTGCCTAAAACCAAAAAATAATCTTTTTATTAAATTATATATAATGCAAACATTAAACATTATTATTAATATAGTATTATAAGAAAAATAAAAAGAAAGATTAAGATTACTTTTTTTTCTAATATCTTTTTGCTATAAAAGATTCAGGTTTTTTTTGACTTTTAAAGTGAAATCGTATTTAACAAAATGTAAAGGAAGAAATTTTTTGCTTCACTTATATATGAATTATATGAAGTAAATACCTTTGATAACTATTAAACACTGCTTTGGAAAATAATAAATATAAAATTATAACAATTATTTTTGTTCGTTCACTGCTGTATTTCACGGCAGGTAAAAAGCGCATATTAATGCTGTCCAACAATATTTTAAGATTTCTTAATTCATTTTATTGATCAGAAAAAACCTTTGATCCAAAGAACTAAAAGCATGACATGACTAAACTGGGCTTTAATAACTCAGTACGATCATAAAAGAAGTTCTCATGATTAAAAAGGCCTTTTATGCACCTATCCTGGATGCCAAAGCATTGTGACTCTATTTAATCATATGAAACTAATCTTCGTAGGAGGAAAACCAATTTTCACGAAATGGTTTCTTTATTTGTATAATAATGCTAAAAATAAAATTAGAAGATTAGAGAATGAATTACCTATTTTCTATAGTATATTAATAGAATTAATTAGTACCTTTCGTATTCTCAATTAAGGTTGCAAATTTCCCATAATCCATTGTGTCTTAATATTATATAAAAATACAAGCAAGAATCATTTAATATGAGGTGTGAATATATGATTTCAATAAAACTCTGACAGCCCTCTTCGCAATTTACCATCAATTAGAACAAAAGCGAAAAGTTGTAAATAAAAAAAAAAACAAAAAAAAAGAGAAACAAGTAATAAGTTTGTATAGTAAGTCAAAATAATAAAATTATTCTGTCTATGACTTAAAATATCACAACGTATAAATCTAAATAAGAAATATAAAGCTCTGAAGAAAAGAAAATATAGATGTTATAAGGAATCTACTCAATGTCTTTAATTTAAAAAAAATACGCGAGATTGAGAATATAGAAAGCAGACAAGTAATGTGACCGAAGCAGTGAAAATGTGAGGAGCCGTGACTATTACCATATAAGTTTGTTTCTTGATGTTGCACTTTTTTAAACCAAAGCCAACTCCAAAGTCCATGTACGTCTGCACCATAATCGGACCGGTATAGACTTTTCTCTACCAACTTTAACTTCCAAACCGTCCCACCAGCATTTTCTCTACATCAATTATAAAAAAAAAATAATTTATTTATTTATATAAGATCTAGCTCCAATAATCCATAATAATAATAATAAAATTATTACGTACCGCTGGTTTCCTCCAAAATAATAGCAATTTCTGTGCTGTCGCCATTTGATTGCTTTGTCCCGTTGTCTTAAGTAATACAAGTGCAATGCTAACAATGCTTGTCTTATTTGGTTCAATATTACGATATCCCCACTCGTCATCCCTTGAAAAACCAGAAACACACAGCATATCTATCAAATGTTGCTCGGCTACGTTGTTTTCTTTACTAACGTTTCGTTGTAAAGCGGTAAATATCTTCCTCTGTTGAAGAAGATGTGTACCACATTCTGTCTTCAATTCAAAAATATTCATTGGTGGTTCAACAGTAGCTAATTCAACAGCGCCGCTATCATTCCCATCAGATGAAGAAACCTCTTTTTTTTTAGATTTCGAAGGTATAGTGAAGTAATCTAATTCTTCCCTCAAAACAATAATAGCCTGCTTATTTAAAAGTAGATTTTGTGTTGGACTTGGCGGAAAAGTTGAAGCACTTGCGCTTCCTTGATTGGAGTAAAATGCATCCTGCGCAGTTTTGTAAAATTCCAAGATATATTCTAAACAACGGGGATCAAAATCCACATAAATAATTTGGTCCTCTATGCCTAATGAATCCTCGGAACGATCGTCTCCTGCTTCTTCGTCTTCATCGTAGAGAGTGTCCCTACCCAATACAAGACCATTAGGAAACATGACAATAAGAATGCTTTCTGGTAGACTCATTAACATTTCACGATCGATTTCAAAGCGGCTGCCTCTAAGTTCAAGTATTAGTTTTGTAGGAAAAGTCAATTCCGGAGGTTGTACAGGTGCTGCACTGGTCACTGGTGAATTAGCTATTTGAGACATTGTTCAACAGGAGAATGAGGGGATTCAAATATACTTAATATTTTTTTAAAGTTATTTTTAAATATTTATATTATATTTATACAAATAAATATGTGAAGGAGGGTAGGGAGACAACAGAGGTAAGTAAAGAAGGGTGGGAAAGATGATAATGAAATACATGTATATTTTTCATTATTATTAAAGATTTTGCATGACGACAATCCATAATGTGGTTACAAAGACGTACAAATGAATAACCGAATCATGTGATTATTGTAACCAAACTGGGTAATATTTAATACCTGCAAATATTTCTTTTTTTAAACAAACATGTTTATTCAAAGATATTATTTTATAGAAAAACTTAAATACTTAATATAAATAAATTCGAAAATGTTATATTAAAAATATTATTTTATTAAAAGTTTGTATTCAAATATAGAAATTAATATATACACGTATATTTATCAAAGCTTACTTTATTAAGCTTTATTAATAATATATGTATAGAGAGATTATATATATATTTTTTTATTACTTAAATATACAACTACTAATAGACTATATAATTTTTTTTTTCTATAGATAAACATCATTTCTTTATTTAATTTGTAGAGTTAAGTATACATTATGAAAAAAACAATATTTCCTATATGTAACAATATAATAAGTTAAATATTAGTTTGCTTACAGTAACTATTTAACTAATATTGAAAAAAAATTTTAAACAATATATCTTGTCAAGTGGCTTCAAACAATTATAATTATTTACTCAGCATTAGTATAAAAGAAAATTAAAACAATTAAATATTAATATAGTAATACAGTTTGTTTAAAAAGTCTTTAGATAATAAATAAATAACTATTTATTTAATTGTTATAAAATTTTAAAGATATATCACATCTTTAATATGTAAACACCTACTTGATACCAATGTATACTAATTATAAAGTTGCAATAGGCTACAATTAATTTAACTTCTATGTATTTTAAAGATTGTTAATGTAATAATAATAAAGCAATATTTAATAAATATCTTAAATTTAATGTTTGTTTGTGATTTAAAAAAAAAAATAATAATAAAATTTTAAAGATATATTTTTTAAAATATAAAAAATAAAATAATAAGTTTTTTTTAATACTTTATTAATAAAAT